GGGGGGGGGGGGAAGAGAGTGAGAAGAGAGAAAAGAAAACAGTAAGAGAGAACAAATGAATAAGGTAACCTGACACAGCCAACAAATCAACTCTATAATGTGTTAATAGCAAGTCAGAATGTGTCAGAACATACCGAGACAAAGAAACTGAAATTTAGATTTATATTTGAGTTGGAGCGCAGCCCGACCCACATCAAAAACAGCCAGAAGTATGTATGGATTGCTTAACCGTGTACCGGAAAGCTCAAATATAAAATAAAGTTGATCAAAAACAGCAGGCAGTGGTTTTCATTCCCCCCTCGGTCAGTGGTTTCACTCCGTGGAGCCAATATGTCGTACTTGCATGTTTTACTTTCCAGGAACTTTAGAACAAGTAGCAAACACATAAATTCAAATGCAGACGTGCAGAGTGAGAGGAAAAGATATGACTGAAAATCCACATCACCACACAATCAATCACCGCCAGCCTTATGCCCCAAGGTCAGTCTGTCCATCACACCGGTGTGGACTGGAATATCTCAAACGTTTGATAGATTATCTATTAGACATTCCGGATCCCCAGAAGATGAATCCATGACTTTGATGATACCCTGACTTTTCATCAGCCGTGTTTCTCAGGGTTTTTACACCTCATCCACCATTATGATGAAGTCAAAATACAGCAGCTGTGTTGTTAAATAAACAGACATAAATGATCCAGAACTGCTCCAAAAATTCACACTTTCTTTGCAAGGACAAAAAGAAAAGGACACATTTTAGCTTCATTACAATGTTATTTGTCCATTACAAAGACAAAGAAATGTGGGTTGTAGATGCAAGCAACTAGAATGAGTTTCCTCAGGGCGTTCCAAAACAGTTCCTGCTGCGACGCCGTGTTGTGGACGCAGATACCCCCAACTAGGGGTGTTACGGTGCACATTGGTCACGGTTCAGTATGAGTCTGGCGGGAAAAAACCCTCAAAATGTAAAATAGGGATTAGGGGTTATGCTTATCATGTTATGTTGTTTTGTTATATCCTGTGTTCGAAAAACTTAAACACGTATTCCTGTGTGTTTTTTAATTTGTTTATATTGTATTTTGATATCAATGATATCAATAGCTATTATTGAGCTTGACTGAACCAGTAATAACGAAGGTTGCATAATATCCCAGCAGAGG